CGGCATTGCCGTTGGTCGTGCCATTCTGATTCAGAGTTCTAAAGCGGAAAGCAGGCGGGGAGGGGTGGAGGGTGAGAGTGAGGCAAAAAAAGGAGGAAAAAAAGAAAAAGAGACCGAAATTTAGTGCAAAATTTGGGGCAGAAAAACGCTCTGCAAAATCACGGGGATGGATCAGAAATGTGCGCGAGACAAGTGAATTTTGCCATCTAACGTGGAATTATAGTGTCATAATTACACTAACATCTAACCATGATAACAGTCTATTATAGTGCTCACCACGGAAACCAAAGCACCCGAATTCCGTAATATGTGACCGGTGGTAATAGTAATTTATGTTTAACTTTAATTAATTATTTTAGCCTATTTTTCAACTATCGCATGGTGCCATGGGGTTGCTCACACCGTATGGCACCATGGCTTCTGCGACCGGTCAAAGGATAGAGATGCGAAAAAGGCTTCAAGGTCCGGATGGATGGCTACCGCCATGACATTCTTGGGGCCGCATCAGCGTCCATGAGAGCGATATTTCTTCGATAACAGTCTTCCATACATGTCAACCCCCGAGTCATAGGAAGGCGCAGCCCATACCCAACTGATCCTAACTAAGTTAGCGACACATCGGCGCTGTCAAACTCGTTTTTCGGACAGTTGAGGAGGCAGGTGGCATAAGCCCAAAAGCAAGTCTGAAGAGGATGCGATTGCTGGAACATGCCATTTATTGACCAATGTTTTGGATTCCGCTCGAACGCATCATCAGAGACAAACTCTCATTCGAAGTAACACCAAAAAAGTCAACAGAAAGGTGTTGTAACGGTGGCCAAGGCTGCAATATTTGCCGTCTAACTACGCCTCGTGTGAGCCCCCAAAAGGAGAACACGGCAAGAAGTGGACTAAGGTAGAAGTATTTGAGAAACCTAGTACAGCATAATTTAAAGCAAACGAACGCGTATTTACAAGGTTGGACCAATTAGACAGTGGTCGCAAGAAAGGCATGACTTCATTGGCTGAGTGAGTCATGAGAGTCGGCGCGTTAGCCTCGCGCCGGCTGTAGCTGGGCGCGGAGTCAGACAATGCACTTTGTATGTGTGGGTGGACCGAGGGTCTCACTTGCGTTGGAGTCCTGCGCCGGCCGCATTGTGCCCGTTGTCA